TGCAACAAAAAAATAGCCAGGCATTGTGGCAGGTTCCTGTAGTCCCAGCTACTCGGGAGGCTGAGGCAAGAGAATCGCCTAAGCCCAAGAGCTAGAGGTTGCTGTGAGCTGTGACACCATGGCACTTTACATAGGGCAACAAAGTGAGGCTCTGTCTCTAAAAAAAAAAAAAAAAAAAATAGGAAAATGTACTATGGACTATACTGGACTATACTGAGTTGTCCAGATGTGGAGGAAACTGGCACTTACTAGTTTTGGTCTGCATGTACTCGAGATAGGTGGAAGCCTTCCCCACCAGGCCTAAAGTAGTAAAACTGTCGCCCAGAGAAATAATCCCATGATTTAAATTGCCACTCCAGATTGGAATTGACAATGGCCTGGCCTTCATAAAACAGATAGTGCAAATGACAGCCAAAGCCTGAATATCATCTAGAAACTATATGTGACATATAGGCCTCAAGGCTCAGGCAGGGTAGATTGGGTGAACAGAATTATAAAAGAAGGAATCAGTAGATTCTTCCCAGAAGCAAAGCTTAATTGGCTACAGGCGTTGTCCCTGGTCTTGTTCAATATTAAATGTATCCCTTCTAAGAGGTCAGGGTAGTCCCCTTATGAGATAATGTTCAATAGGCCTCCACCAATCCTCCAAAATTTACCAGGGACTCTTAAAAGAACTAGGAAAAACTGAATTGCAGAGGCAGTTAGAAGGTCTAAAAAGACTAGCAATGAAGAACTCCACTGGGGTAATTAACCATGTTCTGTTTAGTCTTTTGTATCTGTATACCCTTTTTCTCCAGGGGATCAAGTCTAGGTCAAGGATTGGAACCCAATCCCCCTAAAACCAAGATAGAAGGGACCTTACACCATCATCCTGACCACAACCACAGCAGCAAAGGTGGAAGGAATCCTCTCCTGGATCCATCACAGCAATGAAGAGCGTTTCAATGCCCCCCAGGAAGCAAAAACCCAGATCTGGTCAACCCCTGCAAAGTAACTCTTCAGGTGTTCAACATGCCCTACTTCAAACACATACCAGGAGCTGGCTGGCTGGTGAACACAAGGCTGAAGCCTAAGGAAATTCCTCTCTGCACTTGTCTTAATTAGACTTTGGACTTTGGGAAAGGGGGAGGAAGAATCTGCACACTCACACCACTGAGATAGGACAAAAGTGACTCCTTTATAGCTTTTATCAATGCGAAGGCACCCAGAAGGGAGTTTGCACTCATAATCAGACACAGTACTCAATATGTGACACAAAGAAAGGAGAAAACCCATATGTATATTACAATACCACAGAGCCCCATCATGGAAAAATTAAGGCCTAGGTAGAAGACCCAAGAGGAGTCACAGACCCTGTAATCTGAATGCTGGTTCAGCCCAGGGAAAGGCCAGCCAGGTGACTCTGAAGGTTAATGCCTACAGTGCCTTGTGAGGGTGCTGCCGCGGAAGGAGCTGGGAAAGAAACCTTAGGACAGATCAGAAATACCTCTGTGCCTTAGATTTTGTAGAAAAGTGGTGTCGAATGTGAAAGGTGAAAATATATGACAGAGGAAGGCACCTGAGACAGTAAGAACTGTAGCAAAAGAAATATATCATGAACCAAAAAAGAGAGAGACACTGGAGCATAAACAAGAGTGAGGACGGGAAGACGCGGCGGTTGATCCCAGGACAGCAAGCTAAGAGGGGACAGAGGCTAAGAGCGGGCCGGCATCAACCCTGAGCGCACCCCGACCCACCCTCGTGGGCAAGTGCCCCATGCCGGGCCGACCCTCCTGCCCACCAAGTGCCCAGCCATGAACCTGGTGAGCCACAGCAGGGAAGCTGGCACTGGCCAGTTGCTCTTCGCCAACTTCAACAGGACGACATAGCCGTGCAAAGGGCACCAAGAGCAGCTGGTCTCCATCATCTCACTGTATCCTGGTCCCTAGCTGTTGGTAAAAGTCAGGTTATAAATTTTTCTGCCTTTCTTCTGTGGATAAGCTGGAACAGATCTATGAATGCGCTGATATTGAAGATATGTGCATTATAGAAAGACTGTTCTCAAGCAGCTTAGTGGCCATCATTAGCCTCAAAGCCCCCAGGAAGCTAAAAGTTTGCCATTTTAAGAAGAGAACCGAGATCAGCAACTATGCCACTCCAACATGATACTGGCTGTGAAGCTCAACAGGCAGAGGCTACAGTATGAAGAATCTCTATATATACACCACATCCAGGATACGAAGGTACTGCATGTGATCAGAGAGACCCCTCTGCAGGCTTGTGTGTACTGTCAATAAACAATGACAATTGTTACTTGGCATACCCAGGGAGTGCAACCATTGGGGAGGTGCAGGTCTTTGATATGATTAATTTGAGAGCTACAAACATGATCCTGGCTCATGATAGTCCTTTAGCAGCATTGGCTTTTAATGCAAATGGAACCAAACGTGCCACTGCTTCTGAGAAGGGGACCGTGATTAGGGTATTTTCCATTCCAGAGGGACAAAAACTCCTTGAATTCAGGAGAGGAGTTAAGAGGTGTGTTAGCATCTGCTCATTGGGCCTTCAGTATGGACAGCATGTTCCTCTCTGCATCTAGCAATGCCAAGACTGTGTACATCTTCAAACTCGAGACTGTGAAGGAAAAACCTCCAGAGGAACCACCACTTGGACTGGCTACTTTGGGAAGATGCTCATGGCCTCCACTAGCCACCTGCCTTCTCAAGTGACAGAAATGCAACCAGGGCAGAGCCTTTGCCACAGTCCACCTACCCTTCTGTGGCCACAAAAACATCTTTTCACTGGCCACAATTCAGAAGATCCCCCGGCTGTTGGGGGGATCTGTAGAACCTGGACCCCCCAGGAGGGGGGTGAGTGCGCCCTCATGAAGCAGCACCAGTTGGATGGCAGTATGGAGACGGCCAGTGAAATCTCAGACTCTGCCTCTCATGACTGTCCCTTAGTAACTCAGACATACAGTACAGCTGTAGCAAAAGGTACTATGTGCCTTCATCTCCAACAAGACTTGGTGAGGAGCATGACAGAAACCTTGAAGCCTACACAGATGACTTGGGTGCCATGGGTGGTGCTTGTCTGGAGGATGAAACCAGCGCCCTACGCCTGGATGAGGACAGGGAGCATCCTCCCATGATTCTTTGGACTGACTGAACCTGACCTGTGACCTCTGATCCTGGAAGCAGAGAACACCGGCTTGACAGAGGACTTTGTGCATTGCTGCTATGAACTTTGACCTGAATTAGGGAGAGGATGGCAGAGACCTTAAAAAAAAAAAGATTGTATTGTTAGTCTAACTCCTCCATTCTGTTGAAAAAATATGTTTTAACTTCAGTGGCTTTAATTCTGCTAATGAATTTTAGATTTTTGTTCTCTCTTTTTGCCAAAATTTAACTGTTTGGTGAGGTCCTCGAAAACTCCTTGCTTTGCATGCATGAATGTGCCAAGCCAGCATAGGCGAGCTAGAGGCCACTTGATAACAAACTGCAATTGTTTGGTTTTTTGATATCTGTACATAATGACCAGCGTGTGTTAGGAAACAGTGGAATGGTACAGAGTGACTGTCAAGGCTGGTTCTGCAGTGACAGGTGCACGGGCTGCCCACTCAGGGCTTGCCAGTGTGCTGGCAGACATCGGCCTCAGACAGGGGTTCTGTTTCCCCAGAGCCCCACCTGGACCATTCTCCCTCTATTTTATTTTATTAATTAAATTCTTTCCAAATTGGATTATTCTGGGATTTCTTCCATGGTGGAGTTTTGTTTCTAATCTTGTTTTCTTTGTGGGTATTAGAACTAAGAAAGGTTGTTTCTGATATTAAAAACCTTTCTTTCTGACAGCAAATGAACTTACTTGAACTCCTGAAGCAAAGGAAAGTGATTTCATTTGTATAATTAAATTATCTGTTCT